TGGCTCTACTTCTAAACTGTCCAGACTTGATCCTGGTGCCTCTCCTTCCCTCTGATCCTGAAATGTCCTTCTGCCCCCATACACCTTGTCTCCCACTATTTTCTCCCAGAATATCCATTTTGAGGGAGGGCCCAGAGCAGACATCCTGTATTCTTCTCTGGACTTTGCCACTATACGGTGGGGAAGTAGCTTCCTTCCTGCCCCTATTTTTCCAGCTCCTTTTTATGTTTTGTCTCCCACCACCCCCCATTGGAATGTAAGCTGCTTGAGGAAAGAAACTGTCCTTTTGCTTATTTTTGTATCCCCAGTACTTAGTACAGTGTCATCCTTTTACCTGTGTGCTTGCCAAAATCCTCCCTATTCTTCACAGCCCAGTCCATATGCCACCTACTCCATGAAATCTTTCTTAATTCCCACAATTGCAAAGCACTTTGTTTATTATGCCTTTTTTGTCTAAGTTACCATATGTCACCTTGCATTTTCTTAATTTGTCTCTATTATATTGTAAAGCCCTTGAGATCAAGCATAGTGTCTTTATCATCTTTGTAAGCCCTTGTATTGCCTACACAAGGTTTTCCGTTTAATAGGACAGCAAATATTTGTTGAATTCAGTTAAGTTAAAAGCTTAACACAGTCCCCAGTATCATAGATTCAAAGGTGAAAAGCTACTTAGATCTAACTTCCTCATTTTATAGATGAGAAAATGGAGATCTAGAAATAACTTAATGGAAATGGCAGAACCTGTATTCAAACCCAATCCTCTGACTCCAAATCTAGTGTTCCTGTCTTTGTTCCATGCTGCCTTTCCTAGTATTGCCTACTGAAAAATTCAAAAGTACTCAATGACCAACTGATTTTACTTTTAAAAAATGTACGTGAGGATTTTCTGATACAAGAACTTACGACAACATAATCTATTTTCAGAAAGAAATGAGTGAGGTCTGTCAGAATATAGACTTCACCAAAATGATAAAATTCTTCCTAAGTAACTTTAGAAAGACCTCTTGTCTGAGAGTGGATAGATAAGGTATATTTTTTCTAAAACAATAGGTTTTTTGCTTAGGCATTTGGGGTTAAGTGATTTGCCCAGGGTCACACAGCTAGTAAGTATCAAGTGTCTGATGCTGGACTTAAATTCGGGTCCTCCTGACTCCAAGGTTGGAGCTCTATCCACTGCGCCACCTAGCTGCTCCCTAAAATAAGAGAGTTGTAGGAACCACAAGGTCATGTAAGGTAACCTACACCTAAACATGAATCCTCCCAACAATACTGACACATCCATCTAACTTCTACTTGAAAACCTCCAGTGAAGGGAAATTTACCACCTCTAATGTACATCAGTGTTCAAAATTTTTTACATATGTATGCAGACATAAAAAAAATTGAATGAAAGTTTTCTGCAAGTTATCTGGCATTATTAAGTTAACAAAATCTTAAGTGTTCAAATATTCTAATCTTTAAAAGACAACATTACAGAATCAAATTTGACTTCATAATATCTAATTCAGTTGAGAAATAGGGGATACAAATTATTAAACAAATGAAATTATTTTATTTGGAGCATACTAAAAAATATTAAATTAATTTGTGTATCATATATACATTATTTTCTCAACTAAATAAAATACTAAGATGCAAAGTATGGTATTTCAGAAACCTAGTCAACTACTATGGAAAAAGAAAATCTTTGAGTAACAGTCCCAGCAAAGCAGAGTCACCTCCATCAAATTATAGGATATGAATTTGCTGCTGCTTTTTTTTTTTTTTTTAAAGATTACTTAGGTCCAACACACTGGAAAAAAATTAACCATGTAACTTTATATTCAACCATGTAAAATTAACATATAACAAGCAGGTAAAGTCTCAAAATGTTGAGATGATTTCAAGGTGAATTTACTGATTGTATTTTAATCTTTCCATTACTGCCTTGTGAAGCAAAACTCTAAAGGCCACAGTAACACTGAAAATAGCAACCTACATCTTTCCTTACTGAAATGAAATGAGAAATAGCTAACAAACTAAAGTCAAAAGCAGTGCATTTTCCCATAACGGTTTTTGTAAAATGCAAATATTTATAACATGTAAAGGTTGTATTCTTGATTGTTTTTCTGGGTTTTTCCTGGGCTCAAGACATGGTTGTATGGTATATGACAGGTATAGTGAAGTAGTCACTATTTAGAAATGATCTTTCAACCTAAAGATACCCAATGAGCTAATGATTAATTTGTTTCCTTGCTTTGTCCAAAAGCCTATTCTGTCTCACTGGCTTATCAACAATTAAAGTTAAAAGTATATCTTTTAGGAAATTAGTCAGTGGACAAAGCAGAAGATCGCAAAGATACATTAAGCTTAATTTTTTTTTTTAGATAAAGTTAAAGCATCCATATCTGTTGACAATCACTACAAAATTATTTCCTTAGATCCCTATTATATTCTAATTCAGGTTTCATAACAAGTCTATGAAAAAAGATGCTTTAAATTAAAATGGAAAAACATTGTAAAAATGGAATCCTTTAGCACTAAAATAGCACTAAAATTTAAAAGAGAATGTTGTTTAAAAAAAAAAAAAGTAAAAATAACTCCAATACCTGGACATTAACACAGCAATAAGATGTTCTGATATAAGTACTTGTAATAATCTTAAATTATTTAAGAAAAAATGAGAAATTATTTTTTTCCTTTAGCAAATATAGTTAGGTAGATGTGTTATCATTAACACATACCCATCCCATTGCAACCTACTGGGATAAAAAAGACAAGAATCATTAAGGACAGCAAGAAAATATAGGATGGGATCTGTAGCACTAAAAGATATCCGTACCAGGGAGATCAAAGATACATATGGGTATTAGTGTCTTGAAACTACTCTTAAAGACTTAAAAATTCAAAATTAAGTTTCACTAAAGTTAAAATAAATTGTTCAACCCAAATGTAAGTAGAGGAATTTTAAGATGCTTAAAACAATTCAAAAAAATGAAAATGAAGGGGCAGCTAGGTGGCACAGTGAACAGAATTCTGGCCTTGGAGTCAGGAGGACCCGAGTTCAAATCCAGCCTCAGACACTTAACACTTACTAGCTGTGTGAGCCTGGGCAAGTCATTTAACCCCGATTGCCTCGCCAGAAAAAAAGCAAAAAAAACCCAAACAATCAAACAAAAAAAGCAAAAGCAAAAGATCCTTTCAATGACTGGCTTGTTTCCCAAAGTGCTAAAAGCTCATTGCTCTAGGAAACCAATGCTAATTACCTCTTAAAAGTTACAATTAAAATGTAAAAATTAATTTGATGAGCTTTCACCATCAAAAATGCTTTAATATGAGATTCTGTCAGTTGCTGTCACTTGCATATTATTGTTTTGAAACATATTATAAAAACTGCTATGATGTTATAAAAAATTAAATGAAATTTCCTTTAGAGACTCTTTAAACATTTAGGATAACTGTGTAATAAGAATATACCCTTTCTTTATGCTCATAAGAAAATGGGTGTGCTATATAATATTATAATAAAATAATTCCAAACTAATATCTTACGTGTTAAAAATTTCACCTCTTTCACCTCCCAAAACACCACCCAAAACACAGGACAGCTAATTAAGGTCAGGCTACAAATGGCTAATAACCATTTATCATCTACTTTTAGGTAAAGGTTTATAAGAGGAAATCTTTTAGAAAAATTAATGAAAAAAGTATTTCATTATAAAAATTTTATCTTGTGGGACAAATTCTTATTTTTACCATATGTATGTATACACACACACACACACACACACACACACACTCTCTCTCTCTCTCTCTCTCAAGACATTTTTTCTAAACCAAGTATGATACTTCTTACTACAAATTTATTCTCTCTGGTTGTAACAATAGCATATGAGCACCACAGATAATGCTGTAAACAAAATTTTAACAAGTAAACTAAGGGCAAATATCCATTTCCCTTTATTACAATATTTAATAGATCATGATTTAAGAGTTTCTATTTACTACAATTTCATTTTCATAATTAAAAATTCAGGCATATTTATACAAACAAGAAACAGTTACATATATTTAAAAAAAAGCAGATTAGCTGGGTCTAAGACTCTTAGCATACAAAGTGAGCACACAAAACCTATAAAATGTTACTGTATGCAATGTATAAAAAATCCAATAACCTCTTATTTTAAAGCTTGGTTGAATAGATTAATCACTAGTAAGAATTAAGGATGGTAGTTTTGCTGGCTTATAAGTATTCCTGTAAACAGTCTGAAAGAAGCAAAAAATTAGAAATGTTTTAGTCAATAACTTACCCCTTTTCTTCCCTTCTAAACCAGTGTAATAGTAGTTAATATTGGCTCTTTCAAATAGATTGATTCCAGGAGAAAACAAATTAGGACCATGGAAAACCACTGTAATTGATTCTATATAAATATACTAAAAGGGAAAAAAATATTGTACTCCAAATGTGACCTGGGCTACAAGTTGTGTGGAAAAAGTGACAGTTACTACTCAGTTTTACTGGAATTTTGTTGCTATTAAACTGATCAATCATTTGGTAGCAATATAACAGAAAAAGGGGGGGACCCGAGTGCTTAATAATATATCTACAGATTTATGCAACTAAAAAAACCTAATGTTGAGAATGCTTTTTCCTGTTCTTGTTGCATAGGGAACAAATTTCATTTGGCACACTGGACTGAATTTTGAGAAATAAAATAAACTTACAGCATTTGGCATTCCAATCAGATGTTGCAGTAAAGACAAATGTGGGATGGGGAATGGAAAAAAATGTGTTAAGAGGGAGAAAAAAAAAAGTGAGAAGACAGAAGACCAAAGGTGCTGGTGCCTTCTACCATTCAATGTCTGGAATACTTTTATCTGGAACAACATATACAAATTATTATTCACACCATGATTAAACTGCTAGAAGATCTTAATCATTTTTTATTGTGCTCTAATTTACAGTACCCAGCAAGGAAACCCTGACTATAAAGGCAAGGATGCCTTAAACAGCAAAAGTATTCTATTCACATTGTATGTTTTTATTCAAATTTACTTTCTGGTTCAGTTTCAAGTTTAGTGCACAAATAGTTGTAAGAATCTGTAAGATCCCATAAACTCGGGCCAAATTTCAGCAGTTTAAACCAGCTGCTCCTTGCAAATAATGTTTTTCCTTCTTGGCAGGTAAACATAATCTCCTCAGTTTCACATAAGTACTTCTTTAAACTGTAGTATCTCCAAAGTCCTTGTTCCAACGGATATATGCTTCTAGGGTTTGAGGGCTCACACTGCGCTTTATCTTTTTCAAGGACTCGGTGAAATCAGATAATCGAATATTTCTCATCTGTATTTCAAAGAATAAGAACAAAACATTTTTATAAATACATGAAGAATTATCAAACATTTTCTTTAGCATACATATCCAAGACTAAAATTAATCATTCTGTCCATTAATGCTACAAATAGAGATGTATTTTACTTTACACACCATATTCTTCAAAATATTGTATAAAAATGTTTTATTAAAGCTAATGTTTTAAACGCACAAAGGGAATTTACTACATAAAATGAACTCTGAATTATTATGTTTCTTGAAGTGAGGGCACATCTATATAAGAAACTGAAGCACTTTTGCGCCCACCTATAATTTTAAAGATCATTAGAAGGGTCAACTTGGACATTTAAAAAATGTAGGAGGCAACATGGCAGGTGGAAAGGTTATTAGACTTGGAGTCAATAATTCTGAACCTCAAATTTCCTTGTATTACCTACTTCAGAGGGAGTCTGAAAGGAAAATTATTGTAAGTTCATGTAAAGAGTTACATAATCAAGCTATTATAATAAAGTATAGCTTCCTAAATACAAGTATTTTATATTTAACTTTTTATATGAGAACCTTATGCAAAAGAATGAAATTTGAAAGGACCCTATCTTTATTACTTTAGTGCTTCAAAAAATTTTTCCTGTGTGGGTCTTCCTTCCATCAAAACAGACTACAACACTTCCTTGCTTTAGCAGGTTGTTTATTTAAGAGTTGCAGTGGCAGGAAAAAAGAATAGAAAATCACTAGTAGCCTGTCTCACGATGACAAGCTTTACAAACTTAGCTAAGCTGATACTCCGACTATGTAAGGCCTGTATAAAAAGACTTTCTAGTAGAATTCTTAAGTGAAACAAACCAAATTTTACCTCACTTGATAAAAAACTAATACGAAATAATTCAGGTAAGTCATTTGACTTTTTTTTTTTTTAATACAAAGGGAATGATAAAGCAGTATACCTCACTGGCAGACATATTCTTCACTTGTTCTGGTTTCAGTTCTACAAAATATAAAAAAAATTTTTGTAAGAAATGAAACTAGGGTTTCTGTTGTATAACAATAAAATACAAGTAAATTTGCAAGTATATGTTTGATAAGAAGACACATTATAATTTTACCAATACATAAAATCCTTCAAAATGGTAAAAAGAATAATTCCTTTGCTGAATAACTTTGAGGTAATCTATTATTATGTACAATGCTGAAGCATAGTAGATGGTTATTCCTCTCTTATTAATTCTGGAGAGTACAATTTGTCATTCATATAGATGACCAAATATTTTTCTAATTTGTTTCAAAATAGTAGAAAATGTTTTAAAAATATAAATGACTTATCTTTGCCAATGATCTTAGCTCTACTGTGACAAGGCTTAAGTTGAATAGTTGGGACAGAATTTCTTAACATATTTGTAAGTTTAAAAGGTGCAAGATTGTCAGCCTCAGTTTCATCCAGAGTCACTGAAGTCCAGTGGCAAGACAGAGTTAAGATAACTGGTGATGGCCCAGGATGCAGTGAATGACCACTTGGTGTCTTTGATGTCTGACCAAGCTCTAAGCACTCCACAGAACCTGCTTCAGCTGCCTTCATGGCCACTGGAACAAAATATTCTCATTCACCCATTCTGCTAGGGGAAGTCTTGACATGCTTGGGGTAATCCCCCTGGGAACTTACTATACTAATGAAATCACAAGGCCAGTCCCTAAAACCCACCCAGAACTAGTCATATATATTGTTTTTTTAAGTTGCTTTTTTTTTTAAAATATGACTGAAGAAGAATCCTTTGTTTCTTTTCACTACTGGAATATTCATGTTAATATTTTATTTTCTTGTGCACTCTCTTGTTTTTCAACCAAAAAATAAGCTGCTGCTTAGAAACTACTTTATACCACATTTTATAGTCATGGCAATGCTAACTCTGTCTTAGAATGAATGATGTTTGTAAGTAATTCCACTTGAGAAAGTCTGTTAATGGAAATCTCCTATTTTAAATGCTTTTGGTGCCTATAACCTTTGGTAGCAAAATATTTACAAGGTGACTCTCAAAAGACAGATAGAATAAAATAGACAGAAATGTCATATGTCTGTTTATCACTTACCTCGTATGGGACCCAGGGCTGCATCTTTTGCAAGTGCTGTTAAATCACTTCCTGAGTATCCTTCAGTCATTCTTGGAGAAAGGGAAAGAAAAACAGCAAAACACTTATATCACTGGAAATATTAAATCTTAATGATGACAAGTTTGGCACACTCTATGGATAAATAGTTGCTTACATGGCATGATCATATGGTCCACCTGCCAAATCAAAACAAAACAAAACAAAACAAAACTTCCACACTGGTTTGAAGCTGCTATGATTACTTTACTTTATGTTAAAGTATTTCTTCTACCTTCAGAAAGATCCTGTAATTTGTGTTTATTGGGTCAGGGTAAATCTTTCAACCACTGGAATTCATTAGCACATCAACAACAGATCTATTAACAAAGATTAACTGCTACCCTGACAAAGGGACAAGGACACAGCTCTGAAGATTCGGAAAGGCAGATCTAGATGGGAATGTCTTGGTGGATAATCTAAGGGAAGTTCAGCTCAGAGCAGGAAGGGTGAGAGGAAAAAAAGGATTGTTATAAAAAGCTATTAAGAAAAATGCATGGTAACCAGATCAATAAAGCATTTTTGTTATATGTCACTTATCAGGATAAGGAAACAGTTTCACTGGGTATTATCTATGTAATTATAAGAAATATATTTGTTAAAGTTTAAAAATAAATGAAAATATTTCATGTTCTTCTCACTTTATCCAAAGGTGTTTAAATTTGATTCACTTATTCATTCCCCATGTACTTTGCCAAAAATTAATATGATGAACATGTAGTAGCAGTATATACTTTATCAAAAAGACAGAATAATTCCAATTTGTCCCAGTATTTAATTGACACCTATACAACTATAACTATGACTGAAAAATAGTAGTCACTCACCTAGCTGTATATATACACATATGCATGTTAACCTAGTAGAACTTTTCAGTGATTAAAATAAAGAACATGTGGTATTCTAAAGTCAGAGTTAAGTACATGGCAAATTGTTAAAAAAAAAAATGAGTGCGCTCATTGAAGCCTTTAATATTCTCAGAGACTGAAACAACATTTTCACAGAGAACCAAGAAACTGATGTAAAAGAAATAAAGAGGAACCACACTGCTAGTTAAATGGGATAAATTGACATGCTGCATGCATATAAGGAAAAAAGGTGCATATAAAGTTATTGAAATTTGCATAAATTTTCAAAATTGGAAGGAATCTCATAAGCCATATAATCTAATCTATACCTGAACAAGAATTCTCTCAATGAGTTCCTCAACAATTGGTTATCCCGCCTTTGCTCCAATACTTCCAGAGTAAGGAAAAGCCCACTACTTCCACAGCCAGACCATTTATTTCACTTTTGAGGAGCTCATTTTTTTTCTGAGAAAAAAGTTTTATTAATGCCTTTTATCTTTATGTTAGTCACTTCTGGAAATACTCTCTTCTCAGGTCCTATGCCCACATTACTCCCACCAATGAACCCTTTCTTATAACAAAGAAAAACAGTTAAACATAAACACCTGTTACAGAGAGTACATCTGACAATATATACATTCTGCCCTAGGAATCCCTCAGCCCTCTGTCATAAGCAGGGAGGAAAGGTTCATTATCTGTTCTCAGAGAATATTGCTAGTTCTTTGAGGTACTCAGAGTTTGGCATCCTGTTAGCGGTCTTTTCCTTTACCTTGTTGTAGTAATCATGTACATTGTTCTTTTGATTTTACTTATTTCATTAAGCACTAGTTGATATGAATTTCCCCTGCTCTTCATAGGTATCATTTCAAAGATTTCCTTAAGTCCACTCTAAATCGGCTTCTTAACTCATTGTTCCTAGTTCTGTACTCTAGGGCCAAGTAGAATAAATCAAATTTCTTTCTTAATGACAGCCCCTCAAATACTTGAAAACTGATACCATTCTCCCTACATATTCTTTCTGCCAGTTCCTTCAATCCATCCTCCTCTGTCACAGTCTCCAGTCTCCTTACCACCCTGGTTTGACTTCCTAAAGAAATTTTTTAACTTAATATTCTTCCTAAAATCTGGTACTTAGGGCTGAAAACAATACTTCAAATACAGTCTAATCAAGGTAGACTACAGAAGGTCATTGTTAAGGCGGCCTAAGACTGTATCAGCATTTTGTGTTTCCATGTTACACACAACTCCTACTAAGCTGTCAGTTCAATAAAACTTCCAGATGTTTTTCAAAAGAACTGATATCTATTTTATGCCTCCCCCATATTATATCTGGGTCCAAACAAATGAACTTCACAAATGCACTTTAAATTTATTTCTATTAAATAAACTTTTCAGATTTGACTCTTCTTTTTAGCCTACTAAGCTCCGTTTGGATCCTATGTCATTCAAAGTATGGGTTATTGCTCCCAGTTTTGTATCATTTGCACGTCTCACAAGAATGCCAATTATTCTTTAATCCAAGTCACTGGTAGAAATGTTGAATAGTACAGTCATGAACAGCTCCTTATAGCATGCTACTGTAACTTTTCCAAGCTGACATCACTCAACAAGTTCTAAATTCTACTAACCATTAGTCTCACATCTCAGTCAACAAGCATTTCTTAAGCACCTACATATGTCAGGCACCAGGCTAAGGATTGAGGAAACAAAGAAAGGCAAAAAAAACCAACAAAATGTCCTTGCTCTAAAGATGATCAGCTTAATGGGGTAGACTACATGAAAATAAATATACACAAACAAGATCTAGATAGGATATCAACAGAGGGAAGGCACTAACAGTAAGGGGTATTGGGTTAAGGCTTCTTGAAGAAGGTGAAATTTTAGCTGGGACTAGAAGGAAGACAAGAAAGCCAGGAGGCTGAGATGAGCAGGGGAGACAATTCTAGAGGACAGCCAGTGAAAACACATGAAGTCACAACATGAAATATCATGTTCAAGGAACAGCAATGAGGCCAATGTAACAGGATCTCAGAGTATGTGGGGATGAATAAGGTGTAAAAAGATTAGAATTTTAGAAGGAAGGCCAAATTATAAAAGGCTTTGAAAGTCAGAAAATCTTCTATTTGATGTTGGAGGGGACAGGGAGCCACTGGAGTTTACCAAATAAAAGGGTGACACGGTGAGAACAGCACGTTAACACCAATTTAGTGGCTGAATGAAGGATGGAAAGGAGTGGGGGAGAGACTTGAAGTAGGGAGGCAAGGCAGATTACTGAAGTAGTCTAGATGCAAAGAGATGAGGGTCTGCAACAGGTGGCAGTGTCAGAGCAAGAAGGGAATGTAGGTAATTGACTGAAAGTGTGTGTGTGAGCGCACGTGTGTGTGCGCATTCAAATATAATACCCAAGGTTTGGGCCTGGGTGACTAAAATGCTGGTATCCTCAGAGATTTTAGGTAGGGGAGGTTTGGGGGTTGGGAGAAAGAAGAGAAAGATAATGACTTCAGTTTTTAAGATATGTATAGGATATCCAGTTTGAGATGTTCACTAGGTATTTGAGATGTGATGAAGGTTAGGCCTGGACAAACAGATCACAAATGACAACTGAATGCACAGGTGCTGATGACCTCACCAAAAAAAAAAAAATAGTACAGACTGTTTACTATAGAGGAAGAAGAGAAAAGTGTGTCCAGAACAGAGCCTTGGGGGAAAAATATAAACCGAACAATTTAGATCTGTTACTATCCAGTCAAAGAAAACATATTACTTTTGAGAAGATAGAAATATTTAGGTAGAGTTTTCACATTATATAGAAATTTGCATTTCCTCATCATAAAACTTACTTTAAATCAAACAGAAAACCACTTCTTCATAAAAATGCTGAAGTAATCCAAACAGAATTACTCACCTAGCTAGCTGGGCTAGCTCTTTTTGGGTCAATGGGCTTCCTTGTTTGCTTAATAGATTTTTTAGTAAAAGTAGTCTAGTCTGAAAAGCGAGAAGAAAAATATACAAGTTACAAAGACCATCAGCTTAAAATCATCTTAAGAAACAAATATCTCTATTCAGATGGTTCTCAGATTTCTGTATCTAGCCCTAACCTCTCTTATGAATTCCAGTCCCACATCACCAAATATTTACTGGACATTTTGAACTAGATACCTCATAGACATCTTAAACTCAACATGTTCAAAACAGAATTTATTATCTTTTCCACAAAACCTTCCTCTCTTCCCAACTCCCCTATTACTGTTGAGAGCATCAATGGATCAATCAATAAGCATTTATTAAGCATTTGCTATGAGCTGGGAATTGTGCTAACTGCTAGGCCAGGGATAACAAAAAGAGGCAAAAGAAAGTCCCTACCCTCAAAGAGCTTACAATCTAATGGGGAAGACAACATACAAACAAATACAAAGCAAGCTATTATATAGGATAACTAGAAAATAATTAACTGAGGGAAGGCACTGAAATTAAGAGGGATTGGGGAAGGCTTCCTATTGAAAGTGGAATTTTGGTTAGAACTTAAAGGAAGCCAGGGAGGTTGGTAGACTGAGTACAGGAGGGGAGAGTATTTCAGATATGGAGTATAGCTAGAGAAAATGCCTGAACCCAAGACAATGGAATGTCCTGTTCCTGAAGCAGCCAAAAGGCCAGTTGTTAAAAGAGTGGATCAAAGAGTATCTGTCAGGGGGAATAAGGAAAAGAAGACTGGAAAGGTAGAAGGGGGGCAGAGTTGTGAAAGGCTTTGAATGCTAAAGAGGATTTCGTATTTGCTCTTGGAGACAAGAAGCAGCTATGGGAGTTTACTGAGTAGAGGGGTGACATAAAAGTACCTGGGCTTCAGGAAAATCACTTTAGTGGCTGAAATGAAGATGGATTGGAGTGGGAAGAGAGACTTGAGGCAGGCAGACCCATTAGCAAGTTACTGCAACAGTTCAGCCACAAGGTGATGAGGGCCTGAACTAGAGTGGTGGCAGTGTCAGAGGTGAAAAGGGGATATATTTGAGAGATGTTGCAAAGGTGATAACCAGAGGCCTTGGCAACAGATTGGCTAAGGCGGGTGTGTGTGTGTGTGTGTGTGTGTGTGTGTGTGTGTGTGTGTGTGTGTGTGTGTGTGTGTGTGTGTGTGTGTGTGTGTGTGAGAGAGAGAGAGAGAGAGAGAGAGAGAGAGAGAGAGAGAGAGAGAGAGAGAGAGAAACAGAGACAGAAAGGAATCCTGGATGACTCCTAAGACATGAGTTTAAGATGTCTATTAGACATCCATTTCAAGATGTTAGAAAGGCAACTGGACATGTGAGACTGGAGGTCAGCAAAGAGACTGGGGCAAGAAAGGTAGATTTGAAAATCATCAGCATAGAGATGGTAATTAAATAAATCCATGGGAGCTAATGAGATTACCAAGTAAAGAAGAGAATCCTGAGGGAAACTCATGGTTAGAAAATGTATTCTGAATATGGATCCAGCAAAGGAGACAGAGGAACAATGATCAGAAAAATAGGATGAAAACCGGGAGAAGATGGTGTCCCAAAAACCTAGAAAGAAGAGATTATCAAGGAGGAAAGAGTGATCATTAGCATCAAAGGCTGAGACAGGTCAAGGAGAACAAAGACTGCGAAAAGGTGATTGGATTTGGCAACTTGAAGTTAATTACTAACTTTGGAGAAAGTAGTTTTTGTGGAATGATAAGGTCAGAAACAAGATTGTATGGGGACAAGGAGAGAGAGGGGAGAGAGAAAGTGGAGGGATCTATTGTCAAAGGCCTTTTTGAGGAATTTAGCTACAAAGGACAGAAGAGATGTGATAACAGAGACGGAATGATCAATATTTGTAGGCAATAGGAAATGAGCCAATAGACAAGGAGAGACGAAAAATAAATTAAAAACAGTAACAGAAATATTTTAATGATGATCAAGAGTTAAAGATTCAAGATAATTCCAAAACCCATGATGAAAAATGTTATCCACCTCCAGAAAGAGAATAGATGAACTCTGAATGCAGACTGAAGCATACTTTTTTAACTTTTTCTTTTCTTTTCTTTCTTTCTTTTTTTTGTGTATGTTTTCTTTTATAACATAGCTAATATGGAACTATATTTTGCATGACTTCACATGTATAATTAATATAATATTGCTTGCTTTTTCAAAGGGTAGGCAAGGGGTGAGGACAGAGAATTTGAAAACTCAAATTTTAAAAAAATCAATGTTAAAAATTTTTTAAAATATAATCAGAAAATATTTAATTTTAAGTAAAAATACATTAAAAAAAGAAAAAAAGAAGTGATAGACTGGGGATGATGGGGGCAATCTATTGGAGGAGATGGGATAGAATGAGATCACTTGATCAGGTAGAAGGGTTAGTAAGGAGTAAGTCTCATCACATGAGACAGGGATGAAAGAGGAGATAATAGCAAAAGACAACAGAATGACAAGAGATGATTAAGGAGTTCGTGGTGAATGCTTTCAATTTTTTTCTATAAAATATGGGACAAAGTTCTCAGCTAAAATAATTGGGGCAGGGTAGTCTTGGGAGGTATGAGGAGGGGTGAAAAGGTTTGGCACAGAGTATGCTGCGGAGAGTTGGACAGTGAATTGATAAGGGAGGTATAGTAGGATTGCCCAGGAGCAACGAGCACCCCGTTGAGGTTATGTAACATAAATATGTAGTGGATTCAGTCAGAATGGCTGTATGATATTCTTTACTTTCAATTCAGCACAAGTGAAGGTGGTGACTGGTGGGGGTTATCTGAGGCTGAGCTTTGGCTGGGCATAATAAGTAATATGACGAGTGGGCTAGGAATTCAAGAGAGGAGGATAGTAAAGAGTTGAATTGGTTCACCAAGGAGTTAAGATAGGGAGGTGAGGAGAGAGTGACTAGAGTGGGGGAGATGGTCTGAGAAAGAATTGAGGCATCAAGGGACTGGAGGTCAGGATCTGAATAAAGAGCAGGGTTATGTAAGGGAAGCCTGGCAACCCTGCTGCCATCAACTTCCCCTTAGAACTGATGTCACATAGCTAAGTGTTGCCACTTGTACCTTCAATCTCTCATATACATCCACTTCTCTCCATTCATATAGCAACCACCCTTGTATAAGATCTTACCCCCTCTTTTGCTTGAAGTATTATAATAGTCCTCTATAGGTCTTCCTGCCTCCATTCTCTCCCTACTCCAATCCAACTTCCACTCAGCTGCCACAGTGATGTTCCTAAAGCACAGGTCTGACCATGTCATTATCCACCTATTCAATATACTCTAGGAGCTCCCTGTTATCTCTAGGATCAAATATAAAATCCTATGTTTGGGCTTTAAAGCTCTCCACATTTCCTACATTTCAGGTCTTCTTACACTAGACTCCCCTCTTGTACCACCCAATCCACCTATGCTGGCCTACTTGCTGATCATGGAACATGACACTCTATCTCCAGTCTCTAATCTCCTTGCCTTTGTCCTGGCTGTCCCCATGTCTGAAATGCTCTCTCTGCTGACTTACATGTCTTCATTTCCATGGATCCCTTCAGGACGCGGCTCAAATTCCACTTTTGCAAGAGGCCTTTCCTTTCTCCTCCTCATCCCACACCTACCCTCCTTCAGCTAAAGCCTTTTTCCTCTAAGTTCTGCATATATATTTTGTACTTATATAATTAAATACATTTTGTCTCCCCACAGAACATAAGCTTTTTGAGAATAGAGACTACATTTTTCTCTTTCTTTGTATTTACAGTGCTCAGTAAAGCACAGTGGTTGGTACATAGTAAATTCTTAATAAATGCTTGGACTGACTGGATGACATATTTCTTCCTTCAGTTTAGCTTTTTTCTTATATTCACAAATAGATATTTAGCCTCCTTTTCTATCTGTTAATTGAGTTACTATGTCCCTAATCATGCAAGCTCAAAACTTCCCTCTCTCTAGCTCTTCATATTCAACTGAGCCATCATTTAATAAATGAATGAATGTCATGCAAAAGGCACCATAATAAAAGAAATGAGATAGTTCTTGCCGTCAACTAGCTTGCAAGCTTCCCAGCTTGCAAAAGGAGACAAGACATACACACACACACACACATATAAGTAATACAAACTAAAATACAAATGGAAAGGAAACATTCAAATTATATGCTATAAGGAACTATAGGAGGGAGAGGTCATTTCCAGATTTAGCAGGTGTGGACGGGGACCATAGAAATCATCTTTCAGGGGAGTATGCCCAAGGTTGAATGTGAAAGAAGGGAAGAATTAGAAAGGTAGGGATGACGGGTGGGAAGGCTTCCAGGCATTGGGTATCAGCTAAACAAAGGCACAGAGATGGGGAAAAAAGAGAATGATGATAAAAATAGCAGGCACATAAAGTTTTAAGGCTTACAAAGTGTTCTACACACTTTTTGTCATTTGATCCTAATAACAACTGTGTGAGGCAGGTGCTAATAATATTCCTACATTACAGATGAGGAAATCAAGCATCAGAGGCTAACTGACTTGCCTAAAGTCACGCAGTTATGAAATATCTTGAGGTGGGATTCAAAGCCAAGTCTTCCTGATTACAAGTCCACCTTGGAATAGTTTAAATGGAACAGAACTGGTGAGGTAGAGTAGTGTAAGTAAAGGGAGTCAACACAGGTTGAAACTAGATTGTAAAAGTTCTTAATTCCAAGTTACGGCATTAAATTATTGAAGGTTTTTGAACATGAAAGTGATGTGGTTGAGTAGGAAATAGAGAAGATTCCAAGTAATGGAGTATAAAGGATGACCAGAAACAAAAAGACTAGTCAAACAGCCTACTGCAGCAGACCAGTTAAAAAAGTGATGATGGTCTGAATTAGGATGGTCAAGTGGAAAGGAAGGGGTAGACTTATTTGAAAGTTACTGCACAGGTAGAATTAAAAGAACCTGGGAAGTAACAGAAGCAGGGAATGGGGCGGCAGGGAGAGGAAAGAACCAAAAATGATTATGATTTTGAGCCTAGGTGACTGAGAGGATAGTTTTATCAATGAAAATGGAAACATTAGCAGATTTGGGGTGGTGGAAGGGAGTAAGTTCAGTTTCAGATACGTTGCTGAATTTGAGGTATTCCTGAGATGTCGAAGCACAGATATTCAGAATGCAGTTGGAAATGTGAGACTAGAACTCTAGAAAAGGTTGGAGCTTGAAGTAAAAGATATGGGAATTATTTTCAAAGAGTTAACTAAACCATGAGAGTGAATGAGGTTACCAAAGAAAAGAGAATAATTAAAATTAAAAGCATACAGTCCTCCTATACAGGTGCTATGTAATTGGTAAAAAAACAAAACAAAACAAAACACCAAACCTATATATTCATTTCAAATTCCACATTCTCCATGAAATCATGTCTGACTACCCTGGCTACATGTGATCTCTACTTCCTCTCAACTCCTATGACACACAAAACCATTCTTATGATACAAACCACTGCATTTAGTTATTTGTGTATTTGTCATGAGATAAGTTTTCCTACCAGAATGTAAAATCCACTTTTTTTTTTTTTTTTTGGCTTTTTGGTGAGGCAATTGTTGTTAAATGACTTGCCCAGGGTCACACAGCTAGTGTCAAGTGTCTGAGGCTGGATTTGAACTCAGGCCTCCTGACTCTAAGACCAGAGCTCTATCTACTGTGCCACCTAGCTGTCCTCAGAATGTAAAATCCTTGAGGGTAAAAACTGTCTTACTCATTCTTATTCATCTTATTCTTTTAACAAAATATAATCAGTTACCTTAGATATTAAATTTAAAGATTCCTTCCCACCTTAAAAGGATCTCTTTCAACTTCTACAATGGCATAATAATTAAATTAATTAAAATGAAGAAACCTTTTTTTTTTTTTTAAGGAAAGAGGCACTAGTTGTATAATTGGAAGTAAAATACATACTTACCTCCTCATTTGGTAAAGACACATACACTCGTTTGATGAAACGCCTAAAAAAAGTTTTGACCAAGTAAGAAAAATTAGATTTAAAATGTTAAATTCACTTAAAAATAAAGTCTAAATTCAAGATATCTTAGAGAAGACTTGAAGGAGGTTGTAGAGAAAAATTGTTTTATATAACTTTGAAAGACTTGGGGACTCTGACCAACACAACAACCAAACACAATTCCAGAGGCCTCACGACAAAACATGCTACCCAGTTCCAGATGAAGAGGTGATGCATTCAGAGTGCAGACCGAGGCATGTTTTTTTTTCCCAAAACATGGCCAATGCGGGAATTTGTTTTACTTGAGTAAACGTTTTTATAATAGATTTTGTTTTCTTGACTTCTCAAAAGGTGAAGGAAGGAGCAGAGGAAGAAGAGAATGCAAACCTAAAAATAAAACTGAATTTTTTTTAAAAAGTAAAAAAAAAAAAAGAAAAATGTTTTAAAGAAGTGCTTTTTTACATCATTTACTGTTTAAATTTAATTTATCTACTTTACTTAATACCATCATAAAATAACAGATGGAACTTTTGTAACAGCCAAAAATTGTGAACAAAGTGGGTTCCCAAAGTGAATGGAATGGCTGCACTGTTAACATATGACTGTAATGGAACACTCTTGCACTGTAAGAAATGACAAATATAAAGAAATGAAAGAAACATGGGAAAAGTTGTATGATAGCATGAAGTAGGCATAACTAGAAAAAGTATATACAATGACCATAACAATGTAAATAAAAACAATACTGAAAGGCAGATAAAATGATTAATTGTAATGGCTTTTTTGTTTAGAACAGGTAAGAGGTGAGAGACATTCAAGACTGTTGAATGTTGCATATACCATCAAACATCTGCTTTAATTTTGCATAACTGTTTCTCATTGTTACAAGGGATGTTCAATGAGTGGGGGTTTCTGGAAATGACTGTGGTATCAGAACAAAAGGCACTAATACAGCTTTAAAAAATGATAGGTGGTTCTAATCTATTTTTGGTGATAGCAAAGACATAGCAACATGCTCTAATGGTAAAATAAGAAATTAACTAATCAATTAACTCAAAATATATACCTAAATACTTGTACACTTGGATTGTTAACTTTTTAAGTACAAATATTTTATACAATTTTGCCATAAAATGTTTCAAAAATAATGTTAATTCCTTATATCTAGCTGTTTCATCATTCCAAGTGGTGGCTCTCCCACTTTCCTGTTTTAGGGGAAGCACTTCTATCCTCTTATTCTTGTCAAGAGGTAAGTATGACCAATCCATAACAGTTACTGAACTTATTTTCTGCCCGAAGGAGTTTCCAGTCTAGCAGAATCTCCTCTTATCATTCTGTACTTTAGAAGTTCTCACACCAAGAGTTTTAGGTGCTAAAAGTAGATTTCTCATTTATAAGACTGTTGCTGTTGAACTAATTTCCTCCCATACTGTTTTACCTAACATTATATTTCCACAAAATCAACTGACTTCATTAGGGTAGATATGTCTAAGCTATGGAAATAAACAACCCAGGAGGAAAATTGAAAAAAAAAAGTTAAATCCTATTGTAAAGTATTCTATTATGCTATAGATTTAATTTTACTATTGTATAAATCATGTTCCTCATGAACACAGTGACAGAATAACTATAAAATAGATGATGGATCTTTATTCCTCAACAGCATCATGATAGGATCCTTTTGTAATGGAAATTATTCCTAGATCTTGTAGAACAGTATGCTTCTTCAAGTACCAGCAAGAACTTGCTTGGTAGTACAATTTTCCCATGTTACTTATTACCATTTGTTTTTCCACTCTACATTTCCACAGTTGGGAATTCAAAAAAAGGTCAGAGTAATGGCGAACTGCAATAAAGCTTCTGTACAAACCAAGTAGTCACTATATATCAATGAAGGCCCTAATGCTAGGACTATTATACACACTCAAAGACACCATACAATGAAAAACAAAGAATTTATCAGTTTGAAGCCTGCTTACAGAACTCCAATTTAACTTTACTCATTTGAATGGTTGAATGCTTATTTATATGAAAGCTTATACGTATAATAATATGTAACTGAATGAAAAATGTATTAAAATGCCTCATATTTTAATAAAAGGGCACCAGACTTGGTCAATATTTTCCTAGGCATTTCCACACTTTGGCTTTATTTATATCCATACTAGTATTAAACTAATATGAACATTATAAAATTGATGTTAGGTTTTTTGGGGGAGTTTTCAGGATATACTAAATTATGTGCTCTGCAAAAAACAAATTTCTTAAAGTATATAAATCTTGAGTTTGAAATGTAAAATACAAGCTCATATACAGTAAGTTAACATATATACTTACATAATTCCCATTTTCCTCCACCTATATTTTACTACTAGAAGAAGAAAGTGAGGGTTATTAGGTGCTAATTCTCAATTAGGAAAAGGAAAATGTTAATTGTTTTTGGTTTGAAGGAAAGTCTTCAATTGTGCTGATTTACTAGTTAGTAGTCCTCATAGCTAACTCAAGAAGAGTTAACACTGGTGTGAATGATTTAACACAATGGAGAAAAATACAAACAATAACAATATGGTTTACCTTCAAACCATAAACAATATAGTCTACCTTACTATCAAGGTTTACCTTGATATAATTGATAACCAAAGACGACAAAGGAAATCATGAGAGGAAAAAAATATTATCCCCTCCTCACAATTAAGAGACAGAGGAATCAAGGGGAGAAGAGAAGGCAAATGAGGGAAAAGGAAAGTAAAAGTGTAATGAAGCTTTTACAAATACAGAAAGACATACAAATATTTACCTGAGAACAGCCTCATCAAGCTCTTGTGGCCTGTTAGTTGCGCCCATTACAAGGACTCTGTCATCTCCAGCAGACTGTACCTATAAGATGAATCAAAAAAAAAAAAAAATTTTTTTTTAAGTTTAAAGTGATACAAAAGAATACATAAAAATAATATACACTATACACAAAAATTATATTTCTAATTTTGGTTATTTAAAAAAAGGAAAATATTTATGTTAAAACAAAGATCATGAAGAATACTTACACCATCAAATTCTATTAAAAATTCAGTTTTTAAACGTCTACTAGCATCATGTTCTCCTTCTCTTCTTTCACATAAAAGACTGTCAACTTCATCTGCAAAGAAAAAGATGATACCATCATCAATGGCCAAACTACCCAAATCATTTAAAATTATTTCTATGTAGCTTATTTCTTATTTTAAGAGCTAAATGTTACAAGTTATTAACAGAGGGAAACCAATATAAGTCATCATGTAGTCTTTAACATGAGTTTCTTCTTTGAACTTTTCCATTTTGAAAGATGTTTGCTAACTAGTGTCCCTTCTCCACCACAAAAATCCTATTCCAATGTCCTCTAGGGGCACAGAGATAAATTTGGACTCTTGAAGACTCAGTCAATGGAGAATAAACCCTGTTAGGTTCTACCATGCTGAAAAAGTTTGAATTAACAAAATAGATCTGCTTTTTAAAAAATGCTTTATTGATAAAATTTTCATGTCTGCTTTCCAGTTAATCTAAGTATAAAGAAACTCATTATCAGGGGCAGCTAGGTGGCATAGTGGATAGAACACTGGCCTTGAAGTCAGGAGGACCTGAGTTCAAATCCGGCCTCAGACCAAACACTTGACACTTACTAGCTATGTGACCCTGGGCAAGTCACTTAACTCCAATTGCCCAAAAACAAACAAACAAACAAACAAAAAAAGAAACTCATTATCAGTAGGCAATGAATTCAATGGCTATAGCAATGTGTGAAACAAAGAAATGCATAAAACAGCCCTCAATCTTGCTCTACTCTGACAGTCATGATGGCAGTGGTCGGAAATAATGCAAAGAGTGCTACAAATCAAAAAATCAAAACTGTACAACAAAATAGTTGTAAGATAATTAACATTAATTAGCTGTTGGTACTTTTAATGTGAGGTTGTTGGCCTACAACTGGGCGTCCACTGAACTGAAACTAAAACACTGATAATACTGAAAAGAATCATATAAATACTGGCACTGTCATTATAAAAAGAAATCAAGGATATAAGATCCCTGCAGCTGAACTAAGAGATTACTCACAAATTCTTCAAGAATGAGGTTTTATGACACCTATAAAGGCTAAAAAGAAATATAATTTCAAAGAATACCTGATCATTCTGCACTGCAAAACACATGAGGACCATTTTGCAAAAGGATCACCAAAGATAGTGGCAACTTATTTGACAACCTCTGTCACAAATGATGCAGTGGTAGAGACATTTATGGAAAACTTATTGAGTCCTTCCTAAATTAAATCACTATATACTTTAAAACTCAGGGATCTTTAATGCAAAGATGACTGTAGGAAAGGACAGCGAAAAATATGATGGAAAAATATGATTCAGAAATAAGATAGAAAAAAGGCCAAAAACTCATATTCTACTCAGAAATCACATGCCTATAAATATGAATATTTTCTTCAAGAAGAGAATCATGAGGCTCTGGGCATGGGAAAGACTGAATGTCATAATAAAAAAAATGAAACTTTCCAAACCTTATTAGATAAGAAATGACTGGTTACTAATCTATAGTCAGACCACTGACTTGTTATAACAAAGGTCAAAACCCAACAAATTTAGAAGAATAAAAATGAGAAAAATACTATATCTTAATATTTTGCATCTGACCTACTTAAATAACCTATTGATACATAAAAATGGAAATTAGTAGACAAAGAAAGAGACTATTACCATTTCCAAAGTAAGTTTAATCAACACAGGTTAACTGCCACAGTGAGGGAACCAAGAGTTTAGAAACCACCTTGGATGGCAAACATCTAATATCCTTGCCAACTGGAGAGCTATAATAGCTAAGAACAATACCAGTTTAGAACATACTCATTTGAAAAACAGAAAAAACACATGTAATCCCAGTTACCAGGGATTATTGGGAGAACAAAGCTGGCAGATCTCTTGAGTTTGAGAGTTTTGAGGTACACTGGAATACATCAATCAGTGGTCTGTACTAAACTGGGTATTAATATGATGAACTCTGGCATGGCAATGGGGTGGAAAGAGAGCCAAAAATTATCCTAAAAAAAAGCTGAATTGGCCCAGGCCAGAAATGAAGCATGTCAAAATTCCCATGCTGATCAGTAGGGAGACTGGGCCTATGAGCAGTTCTATACTTCCATCCTGAGCAAGATGGGGAGACAGTACAGAAAAAGGAAAGGAAAGGACAAAGGAAGGGAAATGTAAAGAATTAGATAGTTTCTATAACAAAAATGATAACAGAGCCAATTTGGAATCTAATATCATGCTGCTTAATGTAACTTATGAGGTTGTAGAAATGGCACTAAAGAAAACAGAGATGGGAAAACCAAGAGACAACCTAGAGGGCACTAAGGGATCAATTCTTAAGGTATCAGAAAGAGGGGGAAAAAATCAAAGCTGTTATTATTACAAAAAAAGAAGAGAGAGGAGAACTTGAGAATATATCAGTAACGACTAATTTGTATATCTATTCGTGCAAATCTGCAACATCTTTATGAGAATTTACACACATAAAAGACATTCTTGATGAAGAACTAAGAAGAGAACAGGCAGGGTGCAAATTATATTCTGTGGCGGATGACATTTTTATAGTCAAACAGTTGACTGAAAGGTAGAAAACCTAAAAAGAACCCTGTTTGTTGAATGAAAAAGCATCTAGTCTGGCAGAGGAAAATGTAGCCTTAAAGGTCTCCTTCATCAAAATGTCTCTCAATCATATATTAAGATCATACAAGCTTCCCTGAAAGATGCAACAATAGAGAAAATGTTGACTATCCTCTGACTATTCATATCAAGTGAGGCATAAAACAGGGAGACATATGCTCACCAAAGGTGTTTGTCACTGTCATGAAGGATATCCAGTACAAAGTCCAAAAGGAAGAGTGATTCCCTATAGATGAGGTCTTCCAGAAGCTCCTGTTTGTGGATGACATAGTGCTGGCTGCATCAAGCCCCATAACACTGCAGAGCAGCCAAAACGAAATCCATAATCACTCAAAAGAACTTGGCCTAACTATCCACGCAAGAAATACAAAGTAGATGAAGAATTCATATTGACCAGCCTACCATATACAGTCAATCGGATAATCTATAGAGCACATCCTATACTTTAATTGGCAAACATGGTAGATGGACAATGAACTGGACTCAGAATTGAACAGAAGATAGGAATGGACAAGATTGCCTGTAGTGCTCTCAATTACTCTAAATTTCTCCACTTGATCTTGTTAACATCACTATCTTCCTAGTGATTCTACACTGTAAATCAGAGAATACTATAATTCATGAGGAATCAAAATTATAAGTCAAGGTTAATAGCAAGATGTGTGGTGGTAAACATATTCATCACATTATCAATAATAAACTATGTACCCAGAGCAATGTAAAGGATAACAGAAATTTCTGAACAGAAAAAGTGGTGGACCTGTTATAAATTAGTTATAGATGGACAGCCTACATGCTGCATAGGTACCCATATAAAACCAAAAGATCTAGATGGAGTTCCTCAGCATGTTGGGTGAATCTCTTGTGAAAGATTTATGGGAAGACATGAATAAGAGTTAAACAGCAAGCAAGAGTTTTGATAGGTTGTTATCTGTATCTACAGCAATGATACCACAGATCTATTTAAGTACTGAAAGAATAAGAGCCCTATCATATTTGGAGAAAGGGATTTCATGAATGATATTTATCAGCACAACATAGTCTTACCTATGAAAATTATAGAAGGCTGAAGTTCTCTAGCCACAGCAAAAAGAGCTCTTACCAATTTCTCTCCTTCACCTACCTAAAAACAAAGTATTAAACATTTTGTTAAACATTAAACCTCAAAATTATTCCACCTCTTATCATTTCTATGACTGTAATCTTAGGACAAACAGATCTGATTTTTCTCCTTTTGTTTCAATATAAATTTAGGGGGTAGAGAAAGAAGAAAACATCAAGATTTAATTCGGGTTTGAAAATTAAAATAAAACAAAACAAAACAATAAAGTCAACTTTAGTTTTCTTCTCCCTTAGGAACAAATAGAATTTGGGATAGAGAGCACAGGGGGTAGGTAAGTATATAGAATAAGTGAATGCTCTGTGTGTGTGTGTGTGTGTGTGTGTATGTAAAAATAATTTCTGGAGGGGAGTAGGAGGGTAAGATGAAGGAGAATCCATCTTACAATGAATAATCCCAGTGAAACTTCCTGAAAAAGTCAGCATCATAAACACCAACAGTAGGCAACAAATTCCAGGTATCATGAGTCACTTTGGCCTGATTGAAATATTCCTGAAGTGCCAAATCCAGTCAACTTAGGCCATCTCCAGTTGCCACAGTACTTAGTAATACATAAGAAAACAAATGGTATATAGACAAGCCTAGCTGGAAATATGTTTCTGTGATGCCTCTTCTCCCTTCCTTACCTGTTTCCACAACTCCATTACCAAAAGAACCTGATATTTGGCCAAGGAGACTTGGCCCAAATTTATGGATACCCAATCTTTGCACAAAGCTGCTTTGATGTGTGTTTTACTTTGCACATCTCAAGCAGAAACTAAAGTGCTATTACTGTAATGACTGATTTTAAAAAGGCTATTCTAAATAATTAAAAAAAAAACAAAACAGCATACTAAGTCCTATAGCTCCTTTTTTTTTACATTTAAATTGAGCTAATCATTTACACTTCCAAATTTTTGTCAATTTTCAGATCCTTTTCTAATACCATCTTCTTTTGCTCCTGCTATTCTTCCTTTAATGAAGGAAATACTACTGTTACAATGTGAAGTAATTGGTTGGTAATTCATAAGCTGATAAATTTGTTTTTTTACATAAATAAACAAGCTAATATTAGTTTATGTGTATGCAAAATTGTCCATATTTAACACAGTAGGAAAAATATGCAACTGAAACCCTTGTGAAAGATTTGAGGGATTTCACTTGATCACAAACTTAATATAAACAAACATTCATATGCTCTTGCTAAAAAAAGCTAATGTAATCTCGGACTATATTAACAGAAATATATCATCTGGACAATGTGAAATAAAATAAATTATACATCGCAGAACTGGAAGGCACCTTAAAAACATCTACTTCATCTACTTCAAAAACAACCCCCCTTCATTTTACAAATGAGAAAAGTGAAGTCCAGAGAGTTTCCAAAGTTTTTCAGTTCCTCTATATTTTGTGCTACTCACACATTTGCTGTAACATGCCTAGTTCTGTCAGTTTTTAAGAGGAGTATTGGCAAACTGTAGTATCCTAAGAGGTTGGGAAACAAGGATAATGAAAAAGTCTAGACCCCTTGATCTTTGAGGAATAGCTGATAGAACTGGGTATGTTTAGCTTAGAAATAAGACTAAGGAGAGATATGGTGTGCATCATAAAAGGATATCATGTAGAAGACAGTACATACAGTCTTGTTTTGTGTTGCTTTTGAAGGCTGGATGAATATTTATTAAGAAGCAGACCTGGGTTCAATATAAGGAAAAGCTTTACAATAACTAGTGTGCTCCAGTAATTGAACAGGCTAACATGCTATCCTAACAGATAACGAGATTTCCTCCAGGTATTTAAGCCAAGACTGGGGAGCCATTTGTCTTACTTCACTTATTGAGTGTGACATTAAGTTGGCTGACATCAAAAGTCTATGGTACCTTAAGACATTTAATAAACATTCATCCAACTGAATTTGTAGAATGATTCTAAGATCACTTTAGTGGAACACACTAGAACACACTAATCCATGGTCAGAAAATGATTCTGCTGCTTTAATGACTCATTTCATTCACCATTGTTATAAACACTTAATAACTACAGAACTTATATGCATACTTTCATCAAAGAAGTCTACAACCAAAACCAGACCAACATCTAGGACAATCATAATACAGTACGATTTGAGGGGAACCAGAAAGGCTTTCTTCCTCAGAATTATCACATTCCCTGACCTGCGACCTATGGTTAAAATTCCATCATTAGAGTTGATTCCTGTGGCTTAAAGCTTTGACTTCTATTAAAATCCAAATACTGGGAAATCTAACATAGTATAAATCATCATTTACATATCTAAGTATGAATAAGATAAAAGTTTTTCCATCAAAAAAGTATAACCTTAATGCATATGAAGTGACCAAATTATCTTCAAAGTATTCCTCTTTGTAAGAACACATTGTTTTTAACTTCTGATATAGATAGAATGTATTATTTCCACAACTACTTAAAAATTCTTTTAAGTTCTGTTGGCTATTATGATTTTTGCCATGTTTTTCAAACTACCATAATAATTTTTAAAAGGCTTTTAAAATTTTAAAATATTGGTTATTTCTGTAGTAGGATTATAGTTCGTTATGCTAATCCAGGCTTGTGTTTCCCCTGGACTACTGCAAAAAAAGTCTACATTTTTTTCTTGACTCAAGTTGCTCCCTACATCAATCTATCCTCCACATAACTGCCAAAGTAATTTTCCTAAAGCTCAGGTCTTATTGTGTCACTCTTCTACTCAACAAACTCCAGTAGCTCCCTATTTCCCCTAGGATGAAATATTGGATATCCCAGAAGTCTTTGTGCAGTTTTAAGCTTTGCTTAAGTAGCTTAAAACTGCAGTGACTTCCAGAATACACCATATAAACTCTTCTGCTTTCACCTAAGCTCTTCACAATGTTGCTTCTTTCTACTTTTTCAGTCTTCTTACACCTCACTCTACAATGCAGCCATACTGGCAGACTTCACACAATACTCCATCTTCCATCTCCATGTCTTTGCACTTAACTGTTCCCCATGCCTATAATTAATTCCCTCTTCACCTCTGTCTTTTCAAATTCCCATTTTTTTTTTTACCACCATGCCTCAATGCCTCAGATGCTTCTCACTCCACCACTGTGGTCCCCTTTTCTCATTGGTCAGTTCTACTCAGAACCTCCATTTGGAGAAAGGACTCAGATGAGTTGTGCTTCATCCTCCAGACTACCACAATACACACCTCTACCATGGGGTACATCCCCTCCTTAAATCCCTCCTACTTTTAAGCCCTCTTTGATATGTTGTCTTTCTCCACTAAAAAGTAAGTTCCTTGAGGTCAGGAGCTATCTTTCTTTTTGCTTGTATCTGCATCCCTAGCACTAAACAAAGGGCCTGGCACAGAGAAAGTGATGAATAAATGCTTGTTGATTCAACTCAAGTACCACCTTCTCCACGCAGCCATTCCTAGTTCCTGTTAGGGTTAGTATACACTCTGCACACACTCCTATATATACATATTAGAAAGTAAACTCCTTGGAAGTGGGGACTTTAGTCTCTGAATCCCCTGGTATTTCAGCACCATGCCTTGCACACTCCAAGTCCTTACTGAGTGACTGACTGAAGGCTGGAAATAAAAGTCAAACTACCATATTCACAATTTTGCCTGGCATTGACCTTGTTAATATATCTGCTATGTAACATCAGACACTGCTACTCTTAAAAGTTCTTGCCACTGAATATACGAATATCAAGTTAAGCTCCTTCTGGAATATCATCAATGACATTACAAAGCAAATGGAGAAAAGACACAAAACTGACATATATAAATAACAGAAAGGAAATAAGGGAGAGGCTTAGGAAGGTTACATAGAAAACCTGAGTACTGGGGTAGGGGGGTGGAGGGAGTCTCAGAGAATTTGGATGCTTCCTTTCTAGAAACTAATATTATCTATTACTCCCTTCTCCTAAGGATAAAAACAAAACCTTTATCTTGGAATTTAAAGCCCTCTGCTATCTGGCTACCATCTAGCTCTTGAGTCTTATTTTACATTCTTCACCTCTATTTCAATCAAACCAGCCGATTAACTATTCCCTTTACAAGACATTCCATCCACTGCCTCTTGTATCTTTGCACGAGCAGGCTCCCATATCATCTCACCCCTGCTTCATAAAATCCTTAGCTTCCTTCAAAGCATAGCTCAGATGCTATCTCTTACATGAAATATTTCTTGATTTCCTCCCACTAGTAATTAGTGCTCTCTCCCTCTTGAGGATACTTTTCATACATTTTACATTCATATTTTATATTTACTTACTTTGTACATGTTGTATTTTCTCAGAAGTAATTAAGCTCTTTAAGGGCAAGGACTGCTTCATGTTTTACTTTGTATACTTGATGCTTGTACTTAATAACATTTGTTGAATTGAATGTTTAGAGGTAAAATGATTATGTTCCACAAAAGGGAAATATTAAATAATAAATAAACTAACTACTTTCAAGTCTATAATTTCTTGTTATATCTTTAAAGTAGGTACAAAATCCTAAGAAAACATTCTTACTTACACTACCATTATTAGTATTTAATACATTAAAATTTGCACATTAACTTAAGTTAATAAATATTGAAAGTAGTTACTTACATATTTTGAGGTTAAACTTGCAGCACTTATATTAAAGAAAGTTGCATTGGACTCTGCAGCTACTGCTTTGGCCTTTAAGAAATGTAAAAAAGCAGGTATAAAGCCACATGAGCATATATTAAAATAAGGATTTAAAGAATCACAATACCCTATTTAAACAGTACCTAATTTGGGATGTTAAAATAACTAACAAAGATTTTCTAAAAATTAAAGACATGATTACTGATATTATAACACAATTATGATGTTTTTCTCTATTATGCAAAAGGAGAAGCTTCCTGTCAGTCCTTTTCTTAAAAGGACTAGAAAGAAAAGAAGAAGATGCTGGCTTTTCTCCTTTCTATTATGGCAATGGCAGCTTGCAATAAAGGAAGTTGAGCTGCCAGCAAAAAACAGTGCCAGGTCTTTGTTCATTCTCTCTTTTTTGCAAAGATATCCAGGAGAGCAGAAATACCTGGAAACATAGCAGGAAAAAGGTCTTAGCAACTTTGACAACCAGGTTTCTGTATAATTTGAACAAATTATTTTTTAGTCTGCTAAAGTAGCTAGAATCTAAAAAACTACTCAACATAGGGTATATACAGTGTATATATTGTTACTTGGTCCAGATGTGATGTCACTGGTATGGAGAACTTACAACTTAAATATTCTCTCCACAGATGCAGACTGACCATGCTTCTAGAGTTGCCTTGAGTCACCAAGCAATAAATTGACTTCTCACACTTGTATGTTTTAGAGGCAGAACTTTAATCCAGGACTCCTAAGTCCAAGGCCAGTCTTCTAGCCACTCTGACATGTTGCTTATTGTATGCTTTTATATAAAGCCTGAATACAATGAAAATTATTCCACTACTCCTTTCAGCTGTCCCAAAACACATACTGAGCAGATTGCATGTTAGCCATTATGTAAATTTGTTTGTGAGGTCTTTAATAGAAAAGATGGGAAGCAGAAAAAACACACATCAAAAAAAAAAAAAAAAAAAAGCTACAGTTATCCCTTCCACATCATGGTGGTTAGGGGCGTGGAGGCCTTGCAACCTGGAAAATCTGTGTAAAATTTTTTGGCTCTCCTTTCATACCAGAGAAGATGTCTGGATTTTTTCTTTTATGTGGTATTTATAGTACCTTATTGTAAAATGTGGGTTAAGTATTTGGTTATAGGTTCTGTGTTGTCAGCTGGCCTTCACGTGTCATCTGCGACTTCCACAAAACTCCCAAAAAATTCCCATTTAATTTCTTATGGATTTGTTAAGGGCTGTTAAGGGGTCCTCTGAACTTGTCTTTTTGAGTTGTACTATCTTCCAGAAACACAGGACCCAGAGCATGCAGAATGTGTCATGGATGAAGTCCTCCCTGCCCTAAGGCTGAGATAATTTGCTGTCTGCACCCCAAACCAGATTCCCTGTGTGTCCTTGGGAGGCAAGGCAGGTGTTACACAGCCAGTACCAGACTGGGGAAAATACTTATGTAGCTGGGGTCCTGTGCAGATAAGCAGACACTCCTATCTTCGTAGTCTAGCCGTTCCCAAGGGAAAAGAACGAGGCTTTTGCCATCACCTTGCTCCTCCTTCTCAGGAGGGATCACTTCACCTTTCCCCTCCCATGCCATGCCCCTTCCTGTTTTCTCCTCCTTTTGTGGTACTGTCACAAGCATGCAAAATTCTGTAAGGATTGTAAACTCTTTGGGTTCCACAGGCATATTCATTTCTCCTGTAATAAACCTGGTTTTCACATAAGTCTCGTGACATTGTGATTGCCTGTTGACACGCTGACCCTTGGTATACTGAAACCACAATCGGAAAAGTCAAGATGTGGAAGGGATAACTATACTCAGTTACAATTAAGGAAAAACTATCAAATACTACACAGGATGCAACTATTAAGAAAAATATTTACTACTGATTCCCCAATTCATTTATACAGTTTTCTGAGGAATATAAAAACTTTCTTCATCAGTAAAATCAGGACAATAATATTTGCCTTATGAATCTCATAAGGTTATTATGAGTTAGCTTAGGCACAGAATGTTAAAGTGACTTGCCAATGATCATACCACTAAATGTCAAAGAAGGGATAGGGATGTAGGTCTAACTCACAGTCTAGTCCTTTTTTCCATTACCCCACAAAGCCTCTCCAGCACTAACATTATTTTACAGCTATCTACTTCAACATTACTAAAGTTTCTGGATAGTGATAAATCTTTTATAAAGAAAAATCAGAGAAACTATCTAGGAAAGAAAAATGATTTCTAGAATATATTTCTATATTTCTCAAATATAGAAGATTCAAACACATAACAAGCATTTCTTACCAGCATAGTTTTTCCATTTCCAGGTGGGCCAAATAGCAACAATCCTCGAGCAGGAGCTCTAAGCCCTGTGAATAACTTTTAAAAATACAAGAACATATTTTAGTTCAAAACTTTGTTCTACAGGTAGATGAATATCACTAAATCTGGGGAAATGGTTATTAATGAAATAGAAAAGATAACTTTACAAAACAAAGACAAACATTTCCTAATTATTTTCATTCAGACATAAGACAGACAACATTAGAATTTGAAATCCAGGGAGATGTTAGCACAAAGAATAGTTAGAAAGAGCAATAGGTTTCATTGTTTCTTTATTGAAGGTGAATATGGCAGAAGAATGAACTAGGCTAAAGTAAGGCAAATTTTCTAAGTACAGACATAGATATATACAAGTTACACAAAAGAGAACTAGGAGATATTGACTTACATTAGAATATATTGACTGGAATTTTGAATTTATCTGCAAGTTAACTGTACAAATCCATTCATGCCTCTACCTTCTTCACTCCCTTTCTTCTTTCCAAGTCCTACCCATTCCAAACCCTACTTCCTCTAGGGGGACATTTAGCCTACAATGACCTTGTCCTGCTTCAAAATTTCAATAGCACTTAAGAAGTTCAAACCATTCATTTGAAATCCAACAGCACAGTACATTATGGCATTTACTTCTATTATTAATGCATTCGATTATTAATTTTACCTCTTATAATGTTACTTAGGTTTTTTATAATAATATATTTATATTATATTTTAAGTTGCTTATATTCCCAATTAGACTATAATTTCCTTGAGGGTTACACACTATGGGAGATTAAAAATGAGAGAGAGATTTTCTATCTGCAAGGAGCTTACCAAGTGGTAGAAAGAAAAATAAACAAATAATTATTAAGGTGGAAAATGATTAACACTATAAGAGAAGTATATATAAAAAGGTATAGGGGATAACGAATAGAACACTGGACTTGGCGTCAGAAGACCTGAATTTGAATTTAAATATTGTGAGACCCAGGGCAAGTCACTTCTCTAAAACTCAGTTTCCTCATCTACAAAATGAAGATAGTAATAGCACCAATCTCACAGTATTATTTTGAGGACATAACAACAGCTAACATTCATGTAACACCTACTATGTGTTAGGCACTGTGCTAAGTGCTTTACAAATTTAATTTATTAATCTTATTTAATCCTTACAACAACCCTGGGAGATAGGTCAATAATACATGAGATAACATATGTAAACAACTTTGCAAACTATAAAGGACAATATAGATCTTGGCTATAATTAATTATAATCACTTATATAGGAAACCTTTCTAAGGGCTGAAAGAATACAGAAAAGCTTCAAATGAAGAGATAGCCTTTAATTTAAACCTTAACATAAGTATATAAACAAGCAGGAATGGCAAAGGGAAAAGCTTTCCAGGTACATGGAACAGAATGAGGTGGTGAAGTTAAATGTTTTAGGAATGAGTTGTTTGGTTGTAGTTTTGATTGACTGTATATGTGTGTGGCTACATTCAATTCAACTCAACAAATATATATTATGTAGCTGCCACCTGAAAGACACCAACAAAGTGCTAGAACACAACAAAAATTAAATAGTCCCTGCTCTTAAAGCGGTAGAATGTCACAGATGGGGAATACTAAATAGGTTGGTTTGACTCAACTACATGGTACATGGTGGAGACTAATATGAAATAAATTTGAAAGAAAGTTTAAGACAAGATTGTGAAAAGTTTTTAATGCCAAAGAGCTTGTATTTTATCCTAAGGACAATATAGCAAGTCCCTCAAGCTTCTTAAGCAGGAGAGTTGCATAGTCAAACTTGTACTGTAGGAAGATGATTTTGTGTGGAGGATGGACTAGAGAATGGAGAGGCCAGAAGCAGGAAGATTATTTATTATTATTTAGAAAGTTAATAGTTCAGTCAAGACACAATGTAGGCATGAACATGTATACTGGTCATGTGAAGAAAGAAGGTGAAGGGATGCATGCAAAAGAGGTTATGGAGATAGAATCAAGAAGACCTGGCAAGGGACTAGATACGGGAGTGTGGGATCAAGAATCCTGTTGATTTGAACCTGAATAAATGGAATGATGTTGGTTCCTTTAATAGAAACAGAGACATTAGAAAGAGAGAAGTGGTTTAAGGAAAAAATTAATAAGTTCCATTTTAGTCAAGTTAAATTTGACATATCTGTGGAATACATGGGGGAGATATCCAGACTCCAAAAAGGAAAAAGATAAGGTCTATCTAAGTCTGTCAATCACCGCATGAGAAAAGATTAAAGCAACAACTTCTATCAATTTAGAAACAAATCAAGTCTGAGTATCATCCATTACTTTGAAATAAATTTTATTACTTAAATAATCTGTTACTCCATAATTCTAGAATAATGTGAACATATTCCTGATAATACAAATTATCTGTTATTTTATTACAACTTGGTTGGCACATTGCTACTTCTCTGAAAATATGCCTCACATAAAGTCACAAAATAGTTTTACTCTGCTGAGTAGTAACATCATTTGAAGGAGAAAGTTGGGAGTTATCTCCAAAGATAACTGTATCCTTGTGAGCTTATCAAGAAAGTACAGAGAAAGAAGAGAGGGCAAGAATAGTTTTGAGGTACACCTATGCTTAGGAGACAGATCATAGATAATGGTACTAGAAAAGAAACTTGAAAGGAAGAGTCAGACAGGTAGGACGAGAAACAAGATACAACAGTGTTGTGAAGTCCAAAGAATAAAATGGATTTCAGGCTGAAAGAGTGGTCTACAGTACCACAAGCTACAGAGAGGTCAAGAAAGATGAGTACTGCAAAAAAGACTATTCGAATAGTAGGAATAACAACTAAAAAGGTAACATGACCAAATAACAACAGGTCTTGACTCAGGAGATTTAGGCTTTACTAAAGTTCTCGGGCAAGAGAATAACATGCTGGGAGCTTTATGAAGATTAATCTAGCAGGACTACACTAAATAAATGAAAGGGAGAAGAGACTAGACACAAAAAGACCAGGTATGAGACTATACCAGTATGAGAAAAAAGTGGACACCTCTAGCTAATTTCCCTGCTTATGTACTACCTGGCCTTTCTATCTGTCATGAAAATTTATGTGTATCTCCCCCAATTAGAACATGATCTCTTTGAAAGCAGGGAGCATCTCAATTTTCTATGTGTACCCCCAGAGTTTATCAAGTGCTGTCACTTAGTATTAAGTGACTAATAAATGCTTTTCCATTCCATCCCTCCCAAGCCTATTTGTATTTTTAACAGAAGATCCACGAAGATGAAATCCCTTAGTCAAAATACGAAACTGTAACAGTGAGACTTCATATACTATTGACAAATCAGCAGTAACATCGATTAGAGGAGAACCATCAGCAAAATCAATCACACTATGTAGTAAAGTAATGACAACTAATTACAATTTTACAGTTTACAAAACACTTTCTCACAATAGTACAAGTATTACAGCTGTCATTTTACAGATGAAGAAGCTCAAGTAAAAGAAGGGCTTAGTGACACTGCCTGGGATCAGAGAGCTAGCAGCATGCTACATAAGCATCCACTTATTTGCTTCCAATCCCAGCACCCTTTCCCATAAATCTCATGTCTGCCATGCCAATGTCTATAGTCAAACACTAGACAGAGCAGAGTACATTCTCCTTTGGAAACATTTGAGGAAAGTTGTTTGGAGAGAAGACATTCTGAGTTGGTGGGAAATACCACATCGTCCTGGATAACCTAGTGTTCTTTTGAACATCCACTAGAAGCCTCTGCATGAGAAAAGATTAAAGCATCACCTTCTATCAATCTAGAAACAAATGATATCTGGTTATCATCCATTACTTCGAAATCAAACAGACTGCTTAGACCCCCTGTTCTGTTACCCCACAATTCTACAATAAAGTAAACATAATTGTCATAACACTACCATGTTCTTTTATTCTAACTTGGTTTGCTCATGGTTACTGCTCTGGGAATATGCCTAGTATAAAGGTCACAAAATAGTTTAATTCTGCTGTTTACATCAGGTATGTTCCTGGAAATCTAAGTAATGACAGAATTACTTTTCTCCATGATTCCATTACAGTTCCAGAAATGTTTCCCACAAAAAAAAAAAAGATATAAACCTTAGCAAGTATTAAAAACCACATTTAATGAATATTCAACACTTCAGTGAGTATTGTCTTGGTCTTCGTGTATTTGATTCTCTCATATAACTGCTGACAGAAGTTACTCAAACTGATAATCCACATATTTTGGCTACCATTTGAGGCAGGATTATATAATCTATAGCCAGAAGAGATCTAGAGGTTCTCTTATTTAAATTGCTCATTTTATACACAGATGAGGATACTGAGGAAAAAGAGGATAAGATGACTTTCCCATACTAAGTGACAGAGAAAGAGAGATAATTTGAACCTTGGTTCTCTGACTCAAAATGTAGGGCTCTTCTGCTGCCTCTCAAAGAAGTAAGATCTCACTCTCCATAAGAAGTATATAAAGATAAGACAAATGAAATAGCCATAATTTGAACTCTAAATAAAAAACATAACTGTCCCTTGATTAGTCCTATCAAGTTTCCTCAAAAAAGTATGAAGATTTAATTAACAAGAAAGGCTTCCCAAGGTCTTTTATTTGACAAGAATAATGTTTATATTTTTGTTTTAAAAAGCTTCAAATAATCTTTTAAGTTTTTTTGGTAGTGCTCATGAAATACAAACAAATATATGCAAATCTTGCTTTATTAAGTGTTCAAATCCAAAACAACACTAAATGTTGCACTAAATATACAAAGAGCCCCCGTCAGCAAACTGTTAATTTCCACAAGGCAATTAAGAAATGTATTGGGAATTTAGATGTCTCCCCGCCATTCACTGTCCCTTTCTTCACTCTGGTGAACTCAGTGACTTTGGAGAGTAATTCCTAAGCATTACTGAGGCCAAATTTCAAAGACGTTCCCTTTTGTATTTCTAATTCTGGTTACTTTGACTTACTTTATCAAAACAGTAATTGTTCAGGAACATTCTATTAAGTTTCCTCTAAAGTCCCTTTCAGCTCAGAATCTATGATTCTATAATGTCATAACAAATTTTTAAATGACTGAACAATGGCAAATACTGTTTCCCCTCCTGCATAACTAGTCATCATATTGCACTAATACATAGCATTGTGATTTCCATCCCCTTGTCTGTCTTACCATTTTTTCCATGTTTTCATTAGCTCTATTGTCATAAATAGTGCATAGCATGTGAATAAAGTTGTACTGACATAGTGGCACTTGCTTACTGTCTCTACAGATGCCATGACGCATGATGCTATAGGAAAATGTTAATGATTTCCTTACCTCAGGTCTAAGGGAAGGAAGAATAACAATTTCTTGTAATGCTTGCTTTGCTAACTCTTGTCCAGCTATATCATCAAATTTGACAGCTGTTCCACTGGCAAAGAAAAAGAATATTAATTCTATGATGGGAATCTATTCACAGTTATATCTAAATTGAAGTAAAATAATTAATAGTTTATTAAGCATTTAGTAATTTTCATGTTTCAATATTTAACTATAGCATGAATTATCTTTATTAAGTGAAAACTATCATGAAAATTAAAAATGTAAAAAGTATGTAAACATTGAACTTTATTCACTCAGAACACATATTGGTCATAGAGTAAGAAATTTAAATTGATGAATAGAAGAAAATTCAGTAATATAACTTACTTGTCAACAATTTCATTCATAATAAGATTAGCAAGATTACTGTCCACATTCCTAAAATTCTTCAAATCTTTCTTTTTTCGAGCAGCAGTCATAGGAGTTGAAGGCTTATTTGTCCTATTAGTTTTGGGAGTGCCCTTAAAAAATAAGGTTTTTAATAGTGAAACAAATAACAATCTAACATTTGTACTCTCTTCTAACAAGTTATCTTTAAGATTTCAGACAGTTAAAATTTTAAACTATGAAATAAAATTAAGCATATGCTCAGTTAGAAAATAATTTTTTTTTATAATTCTATCAGTTAAAATTTAATTTTGCCCACGGCACTGGCTGATTTCAAAATCAGATCCTCTATCCCACAAATGCATAGCTTTTCATCTAAGTATTTCAAATCTGAAATTTACCATACTTAATTTAATCCCAGCAGAACTGGCTAAACACATTTTCACTATGAAAATATTTATTATAAGGCAGGTCTGGGGGAGACTTTGTCCAAAAGAATTTAATTGCTAAATATTAAAAATATCCTTTTGAAATCAGCATTTCAAATATAAAGTAGTACAATAGACTAGATTAGAGCTATAAAAAACATTATACCAAGTTTCTAAAATGCTAAGATTCACAAATAGTTTTTAATGACAGGAAAATTAGGATTTCAAATGAAAATGGAATGCTATGCAAGTAAATACAACATATGAAGACAAAATAGGCACTGAAAGAGTCAGGATTAGGAGTCCCTTTAATAGTACATTCCCAACTGCACTTTAAGTGAAATCCATTTTCAGAAACATAGCTTGCAACTTTACTTTTTAGGAACATAACTATTCAGTTAAGGAAAGCACATAGGTACAAAAAACGAAGTACAACCATTTCTAAGTTTTCACTTGTGATAGCAGAGCAAGTAAGGTTACAATTTAAGAGTACCTTATGAGATGTAGTTGCAGGGACAGTTCCCTGTCTAGCTGAAGAGAGCATGGATAGCCCACTACAACTAGGTGCTCTGTGGTGACCTGAAAGACCCGTGGATGCGGTTTTTGCAACAGTTTTTGACCGAGGAAGTGAATTACTAGTGTGTGTTAATGGGTCCTTTCTTTTGGGAACAGCTCCACTTTCTAAAAGAAAAAAGTGAAAACTTTTATAACAGGTAATTCTACAACAGTTAATACTAAAATAATGCAACATATTTACTAGTCAGTCTAATATTTAAAATCAAAACTATAATCACACAAAATATTTTCTCTACTCAAAATGATCAAAGTTACCCCCAAAAATTTATGAAACAAAGCGCTTAAGATAGCTGTTTTAGAATGCCATTGAGGATAAAAGTGGTACTAAACTAAATGAGTTCTAAAATTTCAAGTGTTATGGCATATTATACATAGTTTTACAACTATGCCCCTTCATGTACAGGTATATGAATTTTCAAAACATCATAAAGCAGTCAAAGCATTATAAATAAGGCAAGTATTTAAGATCAAAACCAATGATTAACATAAACTGTACTTTTATTAAAATTACAGGTTAGAAACAATACATTTTAAAAGACCCATCTCAATTTAACTGCTGAATATCCTTAAAATCCATGATTTCAAAATAACATTTTCCTGTCTTATATATCATAATATAACCTAACACTCAAAATTAAAAGTGGAACTTTAAATTACCCAGTAGGGCAACTAGTATGCTTACTGAATAGGATTATAAATTTAAACTCTCCTTCTGACATTAAATAGCTTAAGAGGACTTATATATCTACATATGTGCATATATGTAGATATATTATATAAATATACATACATATGTGTGTATTTATACATATTCAAAATATAATAAACTCTGTTAATAATCTATGCTCACAAACAGGCAGTTTTCAGATGATGAAATCAAAGCTATCATAATCACATGAAAAAATGCTCTAAATCAATAATAATTAAAGAAATACAAATTAAAACAATCCTGAGATACCACATCACATCCATCAGATTGACTAACATGACAGAAAAGAAAAATTACATGAAGGGTATGTGGAAAAATTGAGACACTAATGCATTGTGGAGTTGTGAATTGGTCTCACCATTCTGGAGAATAATTGGTAACAAGGCTGAAAGGGCTGTAAAACTATGTACACCCTTTGACTAAGCAATACCACTACCAGGTCATTATCACAAAGAGACCAAAGAAAAAGGGAAGGACAGACAGACTGACAGACAGACACACAGACAGACAGACAGACAGACACACACACACACACACACACACACACACACTTTTATCAGCTCTTTTTGTTATGGCAAAGAACTGGAAACTGAGGGGATGCTCATCAATAGTGAGGATGGCTGAATAAGACGTGGCATATGACTGTGATGGAATACTATGGTGCTGTAAGAAATGATGAGTGGGACAGGTTCAGAAAAACCTGAGAAGACTTATATGAGCTGATGCAAAGTAAAGTGAGCAGAACCAGAAGAACATAATACATAATAACAATATGGAAACAATGATCAACTGTGAAAAACTTAGCTACTCTGATCAAGACAGTGATCTATTCAAAGGACTTATGATGAAAAATGCTATCCACCTCCAGAGTGAGAACTGGTATTTTTAAAACTTTTTTTTGTTTTTCAACATGGAGAATATGAAAATGTTTCACATGACATCACATGTATAATGAGTATCATATTACTTGCCTTCTTGATGGGTAAGGGAGGGAATGGAGGGAAGGAAAGCAAATGGAACTCAAAAAAATAACATTAAGAAAATATAATAACCTGTGCCTAATATTCAGGAAAAAAGAGAAGCAGATAATCCCCAGAACAATTATTTTGGGTTTAGAAATGTAACCCACTTACCCAACCCTATTCCTCCCCAAGAGCTTAGTTCTCTTATCAATAGTTCAGCATTCTGAGGGAACATAAGTGGGAGGCTTTCAATCATATTTAGAAGGAAAAATGCAAATAATTTTTACTTATTGGTAATCAGAGGCAATCGAGAGGCAATTTATGACTAGCCCTTATCCAGTTTTCATTTCCTGGGCAAAAAAAGTGTCATAATGCGGAGAGTAATCTCTCAGTTTTTATCTCTATATGACTGGAAAATTCTAATTGCTATATTCTGTTCTCACATTGAAGCCTCGCTGTCCCCCTGATCCCTTTTATGTTGTTGCTGAGTCATTTCAGTCGTGTCTGACTCTTTGCGACCCACTTGGGGTTTTCCTGGCAAAGGTACTGCAGTGGTTTGCCATTTTCTTCTCTAGCTCATTTTACAGATGAGGAAACTGAAACAAAGTTCAGTGACTTGCCTAGGGTCACATAGGTAGTAAGTGTCTGGGGCTGGATTTAAACTCAGTACTTTCTGCCTCCAGGCTTGTAAACGAACCTTTTCTGAATCCTTTCTGATTTTGTTGCATTTTTCTTGATGACAATCACAATAGCATGCAGCATATCAAATGCAGAGGCACAAATGGTTTTATTTAAACTTAAGAAAATGTTTTATTTTAATTTCAGTACACTTTCTGACATCACTCAGCATCTTGCTGCTCTTTTACTGAACCCAAGTAGCATACAACGCTCCAAACTGTTTCTTGGGTCATGACTGGTAACTGTAGTCTGGCTTATTTTCCCCTACATTGAAGTTTCTATCTGTGGCTTTCTAGTTCTTCTACATAGTGGCCTTTCCTGATTTTCTCAGTTATCACTGTAGTCTCCCTCTTAAAATTACTCTGTATTACTCTACGTTTACATATTTATTTACATGTTTTGTCATCTCCAGGAGAATGTAAGCTGCTTGAGGGATAAGGCTACTCCATTTTATGCCTTTGTATCCTCACACCCCTGCATGGTGCCTTAACACATAGCAGGCACTTAATAAAGGTAATTTTGAGATTTTCAAATGGTTCAGCTCCACAACTCTGACATTTAACTATCTAGAAAAGACTGTCAATAATGTCTAGTACAGAACATCAACACATAGTAAGTACTTAGTAAATACTTGTTAAATGAATCCATAATCCTATAAATTTCAGTGTATACAACTTTTAAAATCATTTTGTAAAATTATAATGAGACTAAGCCCTAGCCTGGTACAGTAGAAATAACCCAGGCTCTGCACCAAGAGGATGTAGTTCAGCTCCTGTGTCTGACATTTATTACATGTGTGACTTAGGGGAAGTTCCCCATCCTCCCTAGGCTTCAGTTTCTTCATCTGTGAAGGGACAAATTTAAATGACCCCTAAGGTCACAACTAACTCTACATCTATGATTATATGATCCACATCCCAGAGGTTAACATCCTCAGGGTTAACATTATTCCATTCAGGGAGAAGCTGATTACCATTTTTGGATTTGCTTAAACCATTTCCCTATGTCAAAATGTTGCTCCAACTTTTCCTATGATCTCTCCTTTTTTCTCTTTAGATCTATGAAAATTTCTCAAAAGATTAAAAAAACCTCAACTCTGAACAAATTATAGCTACTGTATCTTGTTCAAAGGTAAAGGTGTGACAAACATTTAACTGTATCATAAATGCCTGGAGTTACAAGTTTTTTCATTGTTGTATAAGAAGTATCTATAATCTCAAATTTTCTCTAAAGAAAAGCAGTTGTACTTCAAGTTATAATTCATTTTTTGGACTAAGGTCAAATGTAAAAAGTACAGGCAACTGCTAATTGTTAGAATATATTGCTGGGTCAGTCTGGCACAGAATAAGTAGCAAAACTACCTTACTAAGTAAGGCCTGACTTAATTTCCCAACTCATTCATGAAATCTTGAGAAGAAAGGATCGGATCGTTGGTATGAATTAATAAGGATAAAAGGAATGAAAAGCAGATAAGCCAACTAGATCATAAGGGAAAAACTGGTTAACAGTAACCAAAAGCCAACTGTGGATTCAAGAGAAAACTAGTCTTGGCAACTGAGAACTGCTAGTTAAGAAAAGAACAGAACTTAGAAGCCCAGCTGAGCAACACACTCAGAAAAGACATTTTGCTGAGGGAGAACTATGAGGATGCCACAGGAGAGAAAGAACTTACTCAGCAGGGCCAAAAGTAACGAGTTACCTACATATGTCTATCACTATTAGTGTATTCTAAGTCTTTGCGCACTCTCCCTATAGATGCTGTGTGTATCTGTGGAATAGTGGGGTTGAAGGATGTGCATAAAATGTTCTAACAATAACATAGTAGTAAATATCTTTACTATGAGTTTACTGTGTGGGGCAGCTAGGTGGTGCAGTGGATAGAACACCGGCTCTGTAGTCAGGAGGACCTCAGTTCAAATCCAGTCTCAGACCAGACACTTGACATTGACACTAGCTGTGTGACCCTGGGCAAGTCACTTAACACCAAATGCCTTGCCAAAAAAAAAAAAAAGCTTACTATGTCTGACTTGCTGACTGGTAATGGGAAGCAGACCGGTAGAAACTTGTTAGTTATTAGAAAAGGAGTAGTTAGCCACAGGTACCTTTAGAAGCTGAGGTAGAAGCCACCATCTGGGAACCCAAACCACAAGGGCCAGTGCAAGATGAGCACAGAGGGAGTGTTACACAGAGGATCAGTTCCACAGAAAGACAAGCTAGAATTCTACTGGTCACTCACAAAAACTATAACAGAACTTATACTACTATACTTGGAAGGATGCATGAAAACATACCCATAAGCAGCAAAATATTTCTATCCACCAGGTCCTACTCCAAGGCATCATCATGGTGCAGAAGTGATCATGGTTTCTCTAAGGCTAAGCGAGTAAAGTTCACACACTAGGAATTTCTACCATTCTGGAAAAGTTTCAGTTATGGTCTTATCAACAAATTGTGTTTGCTTTCTGAGGACTAACCTAGATAAGTAGAGAAAGGCTTATCTCCAGTAGGTTGGCCAGCTGCTAAGTTCTTTGGCTATAGCAACACACAAAACGGAAAATTACAAAATGATCAGCCTAACATTAGTGGATTACTGGTTAGAACTGGTCCAACTATTTGGGAAAGCAATTTGGAACTATGTGCAAAAATTCACTAAACTTACACCTTTGATCTAGTAATACCACTATTAGAACTACACCCCTAAAGACATTAAAAAGAGAAAAGGACTCACTACAAAAAAAGAATTCATATGTATGAAA